GACAAACAGCTGATCAGCTGTTTGTCGGCTCAGCGCGGCAGCCATGTAAATTTAAATGAAGTGGCGATTATTTAAATCGCCGCTTCATTTTACTGTGTAGGGTAGCCTAATCTACATGCCTCTGTCGCCAGAGGCATGTAGTCTAGACGTACCCTTGGGGTACAGCTATATTTGATCTGGGAGTTACGATTCCTAGCTTAGGAGCAAGTGTGTCCACAGCAGCTCAGGGTAATCACCTAAGTGCATACCCAGAGGTTGGATGAGACTGTACTTGCGGCAGCAAACTTGAGAGGCTACCTAGGCTGCTGCAGACACATTGCTATTTTTAGGCACTAGCTTGAGTGGAGCTAGCATGGCTACATCTCTGTAAGCTAGGACTCACACCTCCCAGCTCAAATATAGACATACCCTTAAACTATTGAATAGCATAGTAGTGTTCCATCCTAGAAGTGAGTCCATTTCAGTGGCAGGTTAATGGTCCCTCAGTATAGTTTATTTATCAGTCTTGAAATGCCCTGAGATCTTTCATGCTAAGAAACATAATAGAAATACAAGGTTTTAGAGGTACACTATTATAGGGGTATTTGTGTGATTCTTTTGTATTATCTTTTTGCACCCATGGAAAGAGTCATTTTCAGATCACAGTAATTACATGAAAATCAATGCTGACTTCTTTTCACCAAAAGCAGGAAATGCAATATGCAAATCCAGTGAAACCTTCACTTGCCGAATACTATTGTAACATGTCTGGTCTTGTGCTCACACAGATTGTTTCCTAATAAAGAAGTCACATAACCTCTTTTATCTTTTTTTTTTTTTTTTTGACTGATGTGAAAAACTGAGGCCATTCTGTTTGCAGATCATGGGCTTCTTTACAGACATAGAGCAAAATCCAGGTTGGTTAAAGAAACAAAAAGATCTTCAGTGGAAAACAAACTGAATAAAAATGTTATAATAAACACTGTAAATATCCTGCTTCTTGTGTGCTCTCCCTGACCTGCATTCTGCAACCCACACAGATGATTCACTGTGAGGCCCTAAGCAAGTCACTTTGACTTTCTCAGGTCCTCCGTCTGTGACATAAAGTAGTAATATTTGTAGAGGTGTTGTAATGGTTAATTAGCTAATATCTGCCCAGCATTTCAAACATATCAAGCTGTGTATGATTGCAGGTATTACAGTTTATTATTTGTACCGACACTGCTGCGTTTCTATTGAGCAAATAAAAACAGATATGATTATCAGATTAAAAAATACATTTTATATTTAGAAAACTAGGATTTTAAAAGAATTCTGGATACCTTTGATCACTAGGGTTGCCAGGTGTCTGGTTTGTACCGGACAGTCTGGTATTTGAGCTTTCTGTCCGGGGAACAAATTGAGAAAATACTGGACATATAAATGTCCGGTATTTTCTAATTAAGTAAGTGTTATTATTATCATGAGTATTAGTACATAGTTGCATACTGCCTGGCTGGTAGTCATGCTCACGCTGCGTGAGTGTGTCTACCCACTAGGCAGTACGCAACTACGCAGTGGAGGGGGGGGGTCTGGCCAGGAGGGGGGGTGGGGGGGAG